TTTTTTTTTTTTTTTTTTAATTACGTAAAGGGAGATTCTGTTTTCTCACATCCTTGTTATTATTAACCCATCTTACAGATGCAGACGTTAAGTCTGAGGGATTGAATTCTGCTCACGGTCATGCAGAGATTAATCACCAGTTCCCCAGCTGGAACCCAGGCTTGTTGAAGCGTACAGCCTATGTTTTCCCCACTTCTTCCCCAACTTCCAGCTGCACTAAAGCCTCTGCATCACACGGGCTGTTTCCACGTATGCGTTGCATCCCTTCAGCCTTGGTGTCCAACTTCCATTTTCCATTGCACAACCACCGTGACACACTGATGAGGCGCCTTCCAAATTGAAGGACTCAGAGCCAGGTGTAGTGTGGAAAGCAGACAAGGAGAGAAATCAGAGCCCTGTGGGGAGGAACAGCAAAGGCCCCTGGGATAAAAGATCATGACAAGGCAGCTAGAAAGGGAAGATTCAGCTAGGAGTCTCAGGTGCTCAGGGTCTCACCAAAGCAGAAACCAAACCTGTCACCATCAAGTCTACTCTGACTCATGGCGACCCCACGTGTCACAGAGCAGAAATGCTCCACAGAGTTTTCTTGGCTGTGATCTTTCTGGAGAGGAGCCCTGGTGATGCAAGAAAGCTGCAAAGCAAAAGGTCAGTGGTTTGAACCCACCAGTCACTCCATAGGAGAAAAATGGGCAGGCTGCAGCATAAAGATCATAGCCTTAGAAACCCTATGGGGCAGTTCTCCTCTGTCATACAGGGTCCTTATGAGCAGGAATTGACTCCACAGCAATGGGTAACCTTTATGGAAGTGGATCACCAGGACTTTCTTCCATGGCACTACTGGGTGGGTCTGAACCACTGACCTTTAGTTACTTATAGCAAAGAGCAAACCATTTGTGCCACCTGGGACCTCCCCAGGGTCTGGAGTTCCCAAAAGCCAGACTAGAACAGGAGGTAAGCAAGAGGTTTACCACCTTATGCTTAAAGGTATCTCCTGGCAGGATGAGGGGGTCCCTTTAAGTCTGAGAGGATCTCCCATAAGCAGAGACTGGAGGAGGAATTTCTGTAGCCCTCAGTGACTTCTTCACCAACATCTCACTTCTCAGGTGAGAAGCGTGTCCCTTGCTTCTTGTCACACCTTCTACCCTGCCTGTCACCCACACCTGCAAGCATGGGCCCTCTGCCTCTTTCTAATTTTGTTATTTGAAGGGAAAAAAAATACTTCTGTTGTTTATTAAACAGCAACTCTTTGCTGTACAGGTGAAAATGGTTTCAAAATGTTTGCTCAATGGCAGAAAACCGAGCCCACATAGCCATTAATTCCTATTATAATGAACGCAAACACTGTGGTGTTTCTATTAATGGAGAAGCCAGCCCAAGCATCAAGCGGGTAATATGGACAATGGAGGCTTGTAATTGCAGACGTTAGTTGTGCCGTGACACTAATAAAACTGGAAGAGGAAAAAAAGGTGGGGCGAGGGGGCTCCTAAATGTAACCGGGAACTCGGACGCAGCTGCAGCATCAGCCAATTCTCCAGCAGTCTGGCATCTGGGCAGATGAGCAGGGAAGGGCAGAAATGTGTGTGATGTGCACCAAAGCCACTGCTGCCCAAACCAGAGACTTTTTAGAGAAGGCCCTTCAATCAGAGGTGAGAATGTGAGGTTTGAGAGCGCCCTGGGTCCTCATCTCGCTGATGGTGAGCACGGGCACTATTCGGGGAGAGTGTGAGGCCCCATGCCCCTGAGCAGCTGAGGGTTCACCCAGGACGGCATCCAGGTAGAGTCTGTTCCCACCCTGGAGGTGGCTGTGGAAGCACCAGTACTAGTTGTCACTGAGTTGACTCTGACTCCTGGCCACCCTATGTGTGTCAGAACAGAACTCTGCTCCACTGGGTTTTCAATGGCTGATTTTGGGGAAGTCCGTGGGTAGACCTTTCTTCTGAGGCAGCTCTGCATGGATTCGAACCACCAACATTTTGGTCAGCAGCTGGCTGCATACGCACCTAATTGAGCACAATCTCCCAGTGTGTGCACTAGTGTAGCTAGGACTGCGCAACGTGCTGCCATTGAGTTGAGCTGACCTGTGGCCGCCCCGTGTATGTCAGAGCAGAACTGGGCTCCAGAGGGTTTCCAACAGCTGTTTCAGAAGATCATCAGGCCTTTCATCCAAGGTACCTTTGGGTGGACTCAAATTGCCAACCTTCTGGCTATCAGGAGAGCACGTTAACTGTTTGCACCACACATTTTCCTCAAGGTAATTTTAGAAACTATAAATAAGCTTGAAGTAAAATTAAATCATCAGTGCGCCTTTCGTCAGTAGTAGAATACTGGTGTTTCCTTCCAGTCTTTTTTCTTGACTGGGCGTGGTCATCTCTATTATAGATGCCCCAGCAGTTCCCACTGGCTAAGCTACAGACCAGTTGCAATCATCTCTGCTTCCCTCTCCCAACTCATACTCATGCACACAGCATATTAACAGCTGGCCCCCGCCAGCATCCCATTAAGAGAGATGTGACAAGCTAAGTGGGAAATTCCATAGGGTAGGAAATTCAGTAGACATCAATGTTAAAGTTGACTCTTAATTTGCTATGTGACCTTGAATGTCTCAGAGCCCAGGGTCCCTGTGTGGAAACAGAAGGCTGGAGTGTACGGTCCGATATCTGATTGTTGTAGCTGCAGCATCAGCCAGCTTCTTAGACATGAAGCCCAAGAGGGATTGATCTCCAAGGCAGCCACATATGCAGCTGTGGAGGAGGTGTGGGTGCTGTGAAGGAAATGCATCCATAGGTGAGGCTCAGGCACCCTGTTCTATGGCAGAGTTATGTAAAGGCACTATCAGTCCCCACTGCCAAGCTCTACCCCAGAGGCTGGGATGGGGCAGAGGTGCTGCTGCAAACTAGACTGGAAAAATGACAAGCCAAGGCTGTAGCGTCAGCTCTGAGGACGGGACACTTTGGGCTATCTATAGGGGCTACACAGCCTTGACCATGAATGAGCCCAGCTAGGAAAGCTCAACTCCTACTGAGTAGCCTACATATGGCCCGTGCAGCTCGGAGATGGTAGAACTGGGCTCTAGAGGGTTTCCCACAGCTGTTTCAGAAGATTCTTCTGAGAAAGAAAGGAGAGGAGCCCTGATGTTGAAGTTGGGAGGTCTTTAACCCTTTATCTTGAACCTGCTGTTAAAAAAAACAAAACAAAACAAAAAAAAAACTCACTGCTGTCAAATCCATTCCACCCATAGCGACCCCTCCTTGGGTTTCCGAGATGGTATCTCTATAGAAGTACATTGCCTAATCTTCCTTCTGAGGAGTGGCTGGTGGGTTTAAAACGCCAGCCTTCTGGTTAGTAGTCAAATGCCTTAGACACTACGACACCAGAGTTGCTTTGTAAAATAACACACGTTATTCTGTGCAAAAACATAGTTTATACTTATATAGTATTTACATGTCCCTGGTCTAAGCTAAGGCCATATATTAATTCATTCCACCCTTATGAATAGTTCTGTGAAGCAGGTAGCAGGTTGTACTACATGAAACTGCCAGTTTGCAGGTCAAAACTGGTTGAAACTTGGTTCTCAAAAAGCTGAACATATAATTACTGCTTCATCCAGCAATCTCAGTTGTACACACACATATCCAGCAACCTATACATCAATGTTCACTGCAGCATTTTTCAATAGCCAAAAGGTGGAAAAAACTAAAATGTCCATCAAGGAATGGATGGATAAACAACATGTGGTCTATACACATAACGGAATACTACCAAGCCATAAAGAGAAATTAAGTCCAGCTGCATTCCACAACATGCATGAACCTAGAAAACATCAAGCTGAATGAAATCAGTCAGTTGCAAAAGGGCAATTACTATATGACTCACTTGTATGAAATAAGTGACTATATAGAAACCAAAGATTATTAGTGGTCATGAGGGGTGGGAGGGACAGGAAAAGGTAGAGCTTTGGTTTGGTGGGCACTGAATTTATGTTAATTGTGGTGGAATGTTTAGGTTGATGATAATGAGGATGGTTACACAACATGGAAAACAGAATCAATATCACTGAGTTGTAAATGTGGAAGGTGTTGTGTTGGCGGATGTTGTGGTGTGTGTGTTTTCACCACCATGAAAAAGAAAGAAAGAGAAAGAAAAGGGTTGAAACTTGGCAATTTTGTGTGGCTCAGCCTAATATTATTATACCATTTTATAGATGAGGATATTAGCCCAGATTGGGCATGTAACTTGCCCAAGGCCACACAGCTAGAATCCGTTTTCCAACTGCTCCACCATATTGCTTCACCAAAGGCTTTGAGAGCCAGGCCATGTGGATTCAGCTTTAACAAGTGATGCAGACACCAGCTGGGGAAGCATTCTGTCTCTCCTCATCCAAGCCAATCAGTTATTCCTTCCACCCCCAAACACCTTTGAGTCTCCCAGCAGATCCGATGCCCAGCCCTGTCTGCTAAAGGCTGCAGAGCTCTCCAGGGTGCAGCTGTCCATCACACCCAGGCCCACCCAGTCCCTTGTAGGTACCTTTCTGTGTCACTGTCGCTGGACGCCACCTCTTCCAAGGCTGCCTGCAGGTCAGCAATCCTTCTGATGGACGTCTCGAGGTCTGTCTGGAGGGTTTGCCTCACTGCTGCGAGCTCCTCCACGTATGTCTCCTGGGGATGAGAACCACGAGCACACATTGGCTTTGGGCAAGGACCTCTCCTACCCACGTGTTCTTGAGATGAATAGGAGCCTGGATGACACCTCTGTTCAGTGAGCATCTTTTATGTGGTGGCTACTCCACCAATGGAAGTAGACTGCCCAACCTTCCCTCTGAGGAGTTTGGCAATCTACTTCTGTAGTGATACCACCTCAAAAACCCAAGGAGGGGTTGCTATGAGTCAGATCCAACTCGACAGCAGTGAGTTTCATTTTGGTTTTTTGACTCCACTGATGTCAACGATTTCATTCTACTTGGATCAACAATCAATGCCTATGGAAACCAGAAAACAAAACTCACTGCCATCGAGTTGATTCCAACTCATAGCAACCCACTTTGGGCTTCTGAGGCAGTGAATTTCTATGGAAGTAGATGGACTGGTCTTCCTTCCATGGAGTACTGGTGGGTTTGGACTGCCAACCTTTTGGTTAGCAGTCAAATGCCTTAGTAGTCAAGAAATCAAACAACATACTGCATTGGGAAAATCTGCTGTAATAAGACTGCTTTAAAGAGTTAAAAACCAAAGATACCACTTTGATGACTAAGGTGTGCCTGACCCAAGCCATGGTCTTTTCAATCATCTCACATGCATGTGAAAGTTGGACAGTGTATAAGGAGGACAGAAGAACCGATACATTCTAACTGTGGTGTTGGCAAAGCATCACGAATATACCATGGACTGCCAAAAGAATGAGTTGGTCTTAGAAGAAATACAACCAGAAGATTCTTCAGAAGCAAGGATGTTAGGATTTCAACTCACTTTGGACACATCCTTAGGAAAGAACAACTGCTAGGAAAGGACATCATGTTTGGGAAAGTAGAAGGGCAATGAAAATGAGGGGAACCCTCAATGAGATGGACAGAGCAGCCTGTTCTTGAGATGGATTCAAATATAGCAATGATCATGAAGATGGCACAGGACCAGGCAAAGCTTCATTCTGTTAGATGTCATGAGTCGGAGCTGTCTCATCGACCACTAACAACAACAGCAGTGCCATGAGGGACTCTTGGATGGGCTCAGACAGATGCTCCACGTTTGACAGAGGAGACAATGAGGGTCTGGTGGTCTCCAGGACATGCTCCAAAGATGCAGTGCTCACCCCCACCACCACCCAATGCAGTCATCCCCCAGAGCCAGGCTCTGAGTGTGTGTTTCCATGGTACCTGGCACAGAGTATGCACTCAGCACTTGTGAGTACATGTGCAAACCAATGTGTTTCCCAGAGCAGCAGCAGAGGCTGGTTCTAGAAGCTGAACCTCTAACCAAGGGACACATCTGGAGCAGAAGGCTAGGGCTGAGCAGAAGGGTTCCCTTTCAACCTCTCATCTACACTCCCTTGCCTTTCTGTCCTCAAAAGCAACAATGACAAAGATTGAGGACCCAACAGGGCTTTGTTAGTGGTAGGCAAACAAGATGGCATTTATGGGAGCTTGCTGAGGGCGAGGCACTGCCGAGTGCTTTATGTGCGTGACCTAACTCAGCACTCACAGCAAGCTCACCGGTGGTTCAGTATCATTGGTCCCATTTCACAGATAAGGAGAACTGAGGTTGTAAAGCAGTGCAGGAACTTGAACTTAGAGCCTCTGGTTCCTCTGCCATTCTTTCACTTGCTGATACTGCCCAAATTGGACTTTGCCCAAGAATCTTTGGGAAACTTGACTCCCTTTTACAGCCTATCTCATGCACCTACTACTCTAAGGAAATGACTGCCAACTGAGGGTGACGTTGGTCCCCAAGACATGTGGCCGTATCTGGAGACATTTTTGGTTGTCGTGAGTTGGAGGGATGCTACTGGCATTGGGTGGGTAGATGCTAGAGATGCTGCTTAACACACACAGGACAGCCCCCAGCACATACAAGTATCTCACCCAAATGTCCAGAGTGCTAGGTCTGAGAAACCCTGGGCTAAACCAGAATTCCACCTCCTGGGGATTAATCCCATGGAGAATCAATTAACAGGCAGACCCAAGCTCTGTATCCAAGGATGCTTGGAGGGGTCCTATGGATGACACAGAGAAGCTGAGCGCTCCTCATCATCCCACAATTGGGAATGGTTAGGGAGATCACAGCATGTCACTCTGGTAGCATAGTGCCTAAGACATTTGACTGCTAACCAGAAGACTGGCGGTTCAAACCCACCAGCCACTCCTTGGAAGGAGGCAATCTACTTCTGTAGTGATACCACCTCAGAAACGCAAGGAGGGTTAATGAGTAGGATCAGACTCAATGGCACTGAGGTTTTTAGTTTTTAACATTAGAAATATGGATTATGACACTGTGGAATGCTTCTGTGAAATAATGCTAAGCAAACAGAACAGAACAGAGAAATAGCACACTCTTATCTATGCAAATGATACACATGCACTTGGAAAAACACTTGAAGGGTTGAGACTATTTATGGGTGGAGATGGATTGGGGTTATGGGTCAAATTTTTCTTCTAAGCTGTTCTAATTGTGTTGCATTGATTTTCTGGCCACTGTTTTAAAGGAACACATATATACCACACCACGAAAGGATTTTGGTAGCTGCCTCTGAGTCGGCCCCTGACTCATGGCGACCCCATAGGTGCCAGTGTACAACTGCCCCAGGGGGTCCTCCTGGCTGTACTCGCTGCAGAAGCAGATTATTAGGCCTTCCCCCTGCAGCACTGCTGAGTGACTCTGAACAAGCAACATTTAGGTTCGCAGTCAACTGCAAGTGACTTGTACCACCCAGAATCCTGATGAGAGGGACAAAAATATGAGGACTGAGGGCCATTGTAAGGCCACTTGGCAGCTCCCCATTTAACTCATTAGCTATGTGATGTTGAAACAGTTCAGAGCTCTCCTCGGAGGGCTGTGATCTGTAGATAAACTGAGACCAGCGAAAAGGAGCAGAGGTGAGATCTGAACCCTGGTCTGCCTGGCTCCCAGTCCAGTCCTCTTCTTGGGGCTTCATGTGCACATGGAAGTTAGTGAGGATCATGGCTGCCCCCATTACAGGGAGAGGCTCAGCTCTGTTCGGAGGATCAGCTTGTCTATTCATGGGATTGAAGTCTGCGCATTTCAACAGATTCGGAATATTTCCAGATTTTAAAGAGAGGAAAAGGCAGGGACTGAGCAGGCTCAAGGGCCAAGCTGAACTGCTGAGAGAAGGTGGTGGCTTAGAGAGGTGGGGAGGCCGTGAGGAGGGGCTGGCGGTGAGTTTTAGTTGATTGAAGCTGCCAGCTGTGAAATCCACATGGCAGCATGCTGACAAGGTGAGAGACACTCCAAGGCAGGGGCCTTAGGCCGAAGGCCAGCGGGCTGTCAGAGAAAATAACGCACACCACACCACGGGATGGCCAGAGGGTGCTCACCCTAGGAGGCTAGCATATCAGCTCACATACCAAAAAACCAAACTCACTGCCATTGAGTCGATTCCGACTCACAGCGACCCCCTTTGGGTTTCCGAGGGGAGTAAATCTTTACGGAAGTAGATTGCCCAGTCTTCCTCAGCTCATACAGACATCTAAAAATGGCTGGATGACAAACATCCCCATATTCAAAGCCACCATTGTGAGTCAGTCACTTCTCCCAATTCACCTGGCACCTGGGTCTCTGCAAGACGTGGAGACAGACAAATGTAGACTCTGCCTTAGATACCATCAGAAGTCCACAGGTCTGGCCCATTTTAGGTATGTGGTGAGTGCACTGGAGTCCATAAATGTTGGTTGAATGAATGCCCGCTTTAGAGCTGAGGAATCTGAGAGTGAGAGCAGCCTTATGACTTACCTAAGACCATCCAGCTAGAAGACCACAAAGGTGAGTTGATTGCCCAGGTCTGGGGCTCTTAAGTGAGAGCTTATTCAGCTGAGTGATGAGTAAGTAGCACAGATGCCCTAGATTGCTTGGATGAACCTTGAGTGGAGAAAGGTCCTCTTACCCATGTCTATGTCATGCAGAGGGTGCAGCAAACATCCAAAGTCTAACTCCTCAGAGATTTCTGGTTTGGGAAGGAGAGGGCCAGGGCCACGTCCCGTGTCTTAGCAATGCACCTCTGGCCTGGGCAGGGCAAGTGGGCATAGAAAAGGGGCACCTGAAATGGGCCAGATCCTCACAGCCCTAACAGTGAAAGCCCTTTAAAATGCCCTTTTCAATGGTGCCCAGTTACCATTCCTAAACATTTTGATCAGAGTCTAGAGAAGAATTCTGATCAAAAGAGGGAAAAACATAAAACAGAATTTCAAATTTTCAACAGAATTCAGATTATCTGAGCCACTGAGGCCGGATGAATCCTTTGAAACTACTGCCCTAAGATAATCTTTGAACTTCACATCTTGAACCAAAACTATCCCCTGAAGCCTTCTTTGAATCAAAAATCCATTTATGTTAAATAGTAAAGTACATCTTCTTTGAGCATTGTGCTCTTTAAAAAAAAAAATACTGATGTGAGATTACATTGACAACAGCCAACTGAAAAGGTTCCATGGGAAGCTTAGGGGGTTGTGATTTAAGACGATGGTGCAATGATTTGGAAAAGGATAGCAAGAATGGTAGCAAAACTTGAAGAATGTAATCAGTATCACTGATTTGTACATGCAGAAACTATTGAAATGATACATCTTTAGCAGTTTATACTTTCACTGAAATAAAACGACTATTTTAAAAAGGACTTATTTAATAGACTCTGGAGCCAGACTGCTTGGGTTCAATTCCCAGTTTTACCCATTGCTGACTGTGTGGTCTTCAGCAAGTTTCTCAACCTCTCTGATCCTTAGATCTAGTGTTTTAAATGGGGATGGTAACAGTTCCTATTTCATGGAGTTATCATGAGAAATAAATGAGCGGATGAATATGAAGCTTCACAGAGGGACCAATGGTAGCACTGCTATCATTTAATTCTCATGAAGAGCCTCATAAAAGGGTGGTATTGTCCCCACATCACCGAGGAGGCTTTGCCCAAGGTCACACAGCAAGTATGGACATTATAA